TGGACAGGGATTTCATATTTCAAAAGTCTTCGAAATAATAAGTTTCGAGAAGAGCACAAAATACATGAATTTTAAGATAAATCATTCAAACTATTCATAAATTTGAGTACAATTTAAGTCAAATATACATTATCTAACATTTAGTCTCAAATGCAATCAATGGGCGCCTCCTTTGTTGGTAGGGGTTGCCAACCATTTAGTGACATTCGTGGGAATAGTGTTGGTGACGCCCATTGGTAACCACTGTTTGTTAATAGCCATTGGCTGTGACTTCTTTGATTTCTTCAATTTCTTGGATTTCTTCTTAGTCTCCGAGCCTTTAGCCGAAGAGTTCTCCGAATCCTTTAAATCCTTCATTTCTTTGTGATAGTCAGCGATAAGATCACGAAAGTCCAGCACTTGTGTGGTGTCCTCTTCATCACTCAATTCAATCACTTCCACCCTCTTATTGGTCGCCTCTTTAGCCCTAGAATTTGCCATCACTTGTGTCTATCATTATATTCATCAATATGTTCATCATTTGTCTTATAAATTATAATTAATCTCAAAATACACACCGATTTGTGTGAGATTTTATATAATAATTAAATTTAAATTTACTTATTTATTCAAAATAATTATTAATAAGTATTAGCAGTAATTTAAGGGAAGACTAAATTAGCAACAAATAGTGAATTGTGTTTGCAATAAAAAACGAATGAAAACCGTATTGAAAAATGAATACTTTTAGTCAGTTTTTTTAATATGTTAATTTTTAAACTGTTTGCCTATTGTTTAGTCTAATTGTATATAACGCGATCATTAGCATAACAATATTGCTATTATACAGATTTATTGTTTCTATTTAATAATTAAATTTTAATTAAAAATGACCAAAAACTTTGTTTTATAATTGATTATATTAAAATATTTGAATGGTAAGGTAGGTTGGAAAGGAAATGACCAGAATATATTACTTTAATGTTATGCCATTTTATATAATAGTATTCGACAAAATGATTTTTTAAAATATAATTTATTAATCTGTCTGTTGTGAAACATTTTTATTCATGATTATATCAATAACTAATAACACATTAATTAAATAGTTATACAGTATTAATAATATCTTATTCAAGATATTTTATTCAAAAGGTTATTTTTTATTATTTAAAAATATAGTACATTTGAAATCATATATGGTAATCATATTAATAAATTTGTGTTCATAATCAATTGATTGTATTGCACTCAAAATATTGATTGATTTAAACGAAAAAATTATTGAATAAAATGATTATAAAATAGAGATAATACGGTATATGTGTGATATCTACCATTCATTTATCATCCGATGGTTAGACTGAAATAAATATTTACTTTCGGGGCTTTCTTTCAGTTTCTCTCAATTATTTTAGAAAAATAAAAATTGTTTTTCACAAAAAATTGATAGATTATGATTTGGATCAACACAATTTTGTTATTTGTTTACTTCACTTCTTCCTAACCTAAAAGCAATGCTCGATAAGAGGGGAAAGGGACCACGAATTGGGTACTAAAAAACGACTCCGTCTAATAAATACCTGGAGTAATTTGTGTCTCCTTAGGCAGACCCTTAGCGATAGCTCATACATCGATACATAAAATCCTTGGTTTTTTCAATTCAGAAAAACATTTCTTGATTTTCGGTGCCGATTAGAATCCAAGGCTTGAGTTTCCCAATAGATGTGAGCGTTTGGAAACATTTAATCTTTATGTGACTTATAGTCACAGAAAACAAGTGTCACAAAATATTCTCTTAGATTTTCTTATGTGTAAAACAACAGAATTCAGTGCTTATTGTGTCAGTTGTCTACTCACTACGAGTGCAAACAATATCTATTAATTGATAAATTTATTTGTAAAATATGAGGAAATCATAAGTTTTTCGAGACTATAGCCCAATAAGAGCCCCATTAATGTCGAAGAACTAGTTATTTCAGAAAAGAGTGGAAATTTTGTTGAATTTTAATTAATTGCGAATTTTACTGATATTGAGATTAGAAAAGAATTTTTTCTGCAATTTTACATTCAATTCACTTGACATCAAGAATTGATTTCATTTATTCTGATCTAACTGTTGAGGAAATAACCGAAAATAGAGTTAACTGTTTTGTATAATTAATTTTTGTCCAATCAAATGTAATTCATCAGTTATATGATCATTTATTATGTATTTTCAAATAACAAAAAATTCAAATGTTTTGCGAAAGAGGAGTCTCTTTGATATTAAACTCCTTTCATGTGTCCGAAGGGATCTCTTGCGACACAAAACATTTGACAGTAAGAGATCCCGGTCTTCATTCGGTGCCATAAATCCCATCTCTCAGTCGCCAAATCAAAAAATATTAGGTATTTCTTGGATTTAATTTTATATCTAATTTATTAAATATATTTATTATACATTTATTTTTGGTTCTGTAACATTAACATTGATTTTATTAATTTGTTTTTTAAAGTAATTTGACACAAATTAAGTGTCTGTAAGTAAAAATTCATATTATTTCTTAGATATACTTAAAATAGTTTTCGGGAATAATTGTAAATCATTTACAGCCATAAGACGAGAGGACGCGTCGGTATGGGAAAGGAGGGCTCCGTTGGCACCCCTTCACGTCAGACAATTGGTGAAGAAAGGAGTCAAAGTGATAGTACAGCCGTCCAACAGAAGGGCCTATCCTTTGCAGGCCTACGTTCAGGCGGGGGCTGTCATCCAAGAGGACATCAGTGAAGCGCCGGTTATTATTGGTGTTAAACAAGTGCCCATCGATTCATTGCTACCCAACAAGACATATGCCTTCTTCTCGCACACCATCAAAGCTCAAGAGGCAAATATGCCACTCCTTGACGCCATCCTCGACAGAAACATCAGGTATTGGATTGGTTTGCAATTTGGTATACAATTTCATTGAACTTATGGTTTGTATCTATTCCTGATTTATGAAAGACTTATCGATTACGAGAAAATGGTCGACAATTCTCAAAGAGTGGTGGCTTTCGGCAGATTTGCGGGAATCGCGGGAATGATTGATATAATGCATGGATTAGGACTAAGACTGTTAGCACTGGGACATCACACCCCGTTCATGCATATAGGACCGGCACATAACTACCGCAACAGCGGAATGGCTAAACAGGCCATTAGAGACACTGGCTATGAGATAGCACTGGCTATGATGCCACGATCTCTCGGGCCCCTGACTTTCATATTCACGGGCTCCGGTATGCTATCATTTCCTATCATTTTATTATCGATTGATTAGTTGTTGGACTTTGATTGCAATGATGGCATGTATTGCAGGCAATGTATCTCAAGGAGCGCAGGAGATATTCCAAGAGTTACCGTACGAGTACGTGGATGTGAAGGACCTGAGCAAAGTGGCTCAGTTGGGTCAGCCCACCAAAGTGTACGGCTCTATCGTCACTCGCGCTGACCATTGGGTCCGCAAAGACGGCGGTGACTTTGATCCCGAGGAGGCAAACCTGCATCCGGAGAGGTATTACTCGAACTTCGCCACAGAGATAGCCCCACACGCTTCAGTAATTGTCAATGGGATCTATTGGTCACTCAATTCACCCAAGCTCTTGACTATACCGGACGCCAAACGACTACTTCAACCCCAGTATACGCCATGGCTTCCCATATCAGTGGGATCGCCAGCACTGCCGCACAGACTGATTGCCATCTGCGACATCAGTGCAGATCCGGGCGGATCCGTTGAATTCATGACTGAGTGCACGACAATTGATAATCCGTTTTGTCTCTACGACGCCGACTATAACAAACACAGCACTGATTTTGCAGGTCTTCCCCTTAATTATCTGTTTTTCATATCTCTATTATAATCAATACTTATTTCAACTATTTTTATAATTAATGAAAGTCTTTAATTGCAAACTTTTCTCAATTAATTTTCATTGATTTTGATATCAGTTTCTAATAATTTTAATGAAAACGATTAAATACATGGAATTGATTGGAAGTTTTGTTTATGATTAGGCCCTGGAGTTCTGGTTTGTTCAATAGATAATATGCCGACACAACTGCCATTAGAGTCGACCCAATCGTTTGGAGATCTCCTCAAACCATATATCGATGATATCGTTAATTCTGATGCAACACAACCTTTCGATAAAACAAGCTTCGGATCCGTTGTCAAGAGCGCCTGCATTACGAGCAACGGTAGTCTTACCCCTAATTTTGAATATATAATGGATTTGCGACAGAAGAAAGATTCAGTGATTTCCACCAAAAAGAGATCATCCAATGAGAAACATGTTTTGGTTTTGGGCGCCGGCTATGTGTCGGCACCACTCGTGGAACTGCTCACTCGAAACCCGAACATTGATGTGACGGTCGCCGCAGACTTACAGGGTTTGTACCATCGGTTCCCATCGGATGTCTGTTTTATTAACCAAACACTTATCACTTATAGGACCGGGCGATGAATTGATCAAAAAGGCCAACAAATCCAACGCCCACTCCATTGTGATTGATGTGACGAAAAATAGCGAACATTTGGATAAATTGATTGAGGAATCAGATCTTGTGGTCAGTCTTCTCCCCTATTCATTGCACCCAAACATAGCCGAGAAATGCATTCGTATGAAGACTAATATGGTTACCGCCAGTTATACGACCCCTCAGATGAGGGAACTGAACGCAGCGGCCACTGCGGCCGGCATTACCATTGTCAACGAAGTAGGTCTTGATCCGGGTATTGACCATCTGTTGGCCATGGAGTGCTTCGATCACGTCCACTCCAATGGTGGCAAAATCACATCATTTGTGTCATATTGCGGAGGAATACCAGTGCCAGAGAACGCCGACAACCCATTGAGATATAAGTTCAGTTGGAACCCGAGGGGAGTCATACTAAACAGTGTGGCCGCAGCCAAATGGATAGAGAACAATGAGGTAAAGGAGATCCCGGCCGGTGGTGCCCTTATGGACCACAAGACTGACATCGACTTCTTGCACGGATATAATCTCGAAGGCTATCCAAACAGAGACTCAACTATTTATAAAGATATTTATGGCATATCTTCTGCAAAGACTGTACTTCGAGGAACTCTGAGGTATTTTTCATAGTCATAGTCTATGGCTATCATGGATATCATGGATATCATGGATATCATGGATATCATGGATATCATGGATATCATGGATATCATGGATATAAAGTCTTTGAAACTATATTTAAATTAATGATTTTTAATGACAGATATAAAGGTTTTTGTGATGTAATGAAAGGCTTACATCTCATGAATTTATTGGACACAACACCTCATCCATCACTTCATCCCAATGGACCGGATATAACATGGAAACAGTTTATGACTAATCAATTGGGACATCACGACGACATCCTCCCCTCAAACCTGAAGAATCTGCTCTTTGAAAGGGTTGGCAACGAAATGAGAGTCGATTCCATCGAGAAGTTGGGTCTTCTGGAAGAGGAATTGATCGCAAAACTTAATACACCAATCGATACCATCACTCACTTCTTGGCCAACAAGCTGTCGTATAAGTCGAACGAAAGGGATATCATAATAATGAGACATAATATCGGTATTGAATGGCCGGACGGTACTCGCGAGGAGAAACACATAAATTTTGTGGTCTATGGCGATCCCAATGGACACTCAGCTATGGCTAAAACGGTTGGATATCCGGCCGGAATCGCTGCTAATATGGTATTAAACGGCGAAATACAGACCAAAGGAGTGATCGCACCCATGACGTCGGAAATATATCACCCGATGCTTATGAGACTACACGACGAGGGCATCCTATCCAGTGAGACCTCAACTAAATTATAAGCTATTATTTATATTATTTAAAAAATACAAATAAAAGTTTGTTGGTTTATATTCAAAAATGAAATTCTTGTGTATAATCTTGTAGTAAGTTAAACACTTTTGTGGCACACTTTTACATTCAACTGTCAAAAGTGGAGTAAAACTTTTAATAATTGAAATGATAAATAATGTTCATTGCATTCAATTACATGAATTGCAGTACAGTTACAACTGAATTAATGGAAAGGGTTGTACAGTACAAGTAAGTGTAAGCAAAAGGTAACAACATTTCGATTCTTATCTCATTTAAAAACCTCAAACACATATCAATCACAGAAATTATCATTACATCAGACAATCCCGCGATTGAGATAACATTTGGACAAAAACTTATTCAGACGAATCGCAAACCAAACTTTTTATGATAGTTGGCCTAAACTTTGATCGCATTCATCGCACAAATGACTTTCATTGATAGCCTCCTATAGTGTACTGTCGTTTCGGATCATTACTCATCCAATTTAGTGGTGATTTCCATCTCTGGTCACCACTAAAGACAGCATCTGTTATAGCATTCATAACAAAAGTCTAACTTTCGATTTCTCGCTTCGTATACAACACTTCCAGAGAGTGGCGGAACCAATCATTGGTATCTCTAATTAGTCTAATTAATTGTTTACAAACATAACTATCACTAAGAAATGGTTTAGTGTTTGTAAAGTTTATGCCAATTTGATTTGAAACCAATAAATCTAAAAATGCAAAGAAATCGTGACTTTTCCGCCACTTTTCCGCCAATCGATGAGACGATAAGAGGCACTAGACTTAAGAAGTCGACACTTGAGAGGTCTTAAAGTTATGAAAAGTGTGCAAACCTTTTATAAAGTGCTACTTAAGGTGTGTTTGATACTGTAAATACTTGGGAGACAAGTAATGGACTCAATGATACAATTAAGCGCTTCTCCTCCCAATCCATTCATACGACACAATAGACATTGCGATCGCTGTATAGGAGAGACTTTGGCTCTTCTCTACACATATTCTCTTCATTTGATTCATTCAAATATTTTCCTATCGACTCATCATTTAATAGAAACAGTACTCCAATCGTGAGCGGAGCTTTAAATCAACTTATTGTCGATATATACGTCCCGCTGTCTGTCCTTTTAGGCAGACTTTGTCCCACGTTTTGGGGTTTCAATACTTGAATTTTATTGGATTTTATTGTATGCAAATCATATGCAAACTAAATGTGCAATGTAAAAGTTTGTGCCGTAAATGAAATGTTGTTCACTATCTGCTGGAGTGTCTCCTATTTGGTGACACCTTTCAGACACTTATTCTATTGTATTGAATGCCATGAATAGCACAGCAATACTCATCCCATTGTTGGCTATAATTTGTTATCACAGACACAGTCCACACAAACCAACTAATACTGTGTCCCATAATATAATGCCGTATAATATCATCATAAGGACTCCAATCATTGAGTATTGTATGCAAACACTCGAGTCGTAAATAATTCATTCATATAATCGTTATTTATATAAATGTTTTTATGGGGACAAATATTTGCATCAAGATAAAATTAACCTATATATTTTTCATGTGTATTCATTCCCTTATTTTTTATAATAAGTGGAACTTTAGGACTGTTTAGTATTGAAATGACTTTATGATTGAATACCACTTTAACTCTTGAGATCTACAAACCCTATGTTACAACAAAACTGTTTAGTATTATAATAACAAAAAGTCAAACTAAAGCTGAAATTCTGTACAAAAAGTCAAAGAATAAAAGCGACTCAACATTGAGTCAAATGTTTGTGAAGGTTAACGAGACTCCACTCAAACTGACCCAACAATACGTATTCGGTTCTCAAATTTCAAGCAATTCTCAATTGTTTATCATTTATTAATGCAAAATTTATTTTTAATTTATTAAAGAATTATGTTTATTTTTGGTTTAATAAACAAATATTCATTAATAATAAATAATTTTGATATTTTTTTATATACTATATTTTATATAATATTTTTTTAATGAGAATTCTTAGTTAAACCGAAAACTCAATCTCTAAGAAATAGTTGAAGTGATGGCAAACAGTGGCATCGGTTAAGCCTAAGGCCAGTGCTCTCCCGCCCCCTCCGTTATGCCGGTGCAGTCAAAGTGTTGGAAAAGTGGCAAAAGTGGCACTTTTTCACACTTATAATGTAAAAGTAAATCACAAACAATTGGTATAAGTTTTAGAGAACATAAATCACTTAATTGTCGGCTCAGACCTCCATCTCATTAGAGATTCATTCATCTGATGCTTGCGATGATTGCGAAAACATCTTCTCGACTGTATTAGCGGACAATAGACGAGAAATATTCCAACAAATTGCATGTCTTGGAGGAAATCCCACTCTCGTCGGCCAACACAACTCAATCTTACGATCAAAAGCCATGAAAATTGGATTCATTTGACTCTTTTGTGGCGTAAATTTTCTGGCAAAACATTACAATAAATTTCATTAAATTTTATTCAAAAGAGTATCAGAGATCGTAACTACAGAGTGGTTGTGAAGATTGGGACCCAAAATAACAAATATTGTATAGACTTTTGTTAATAGCATTTACACCTCATGCACGATAGGGCCTAATAGGGGCCTAACATTTCATTTTCGAGGCTATAAATGAATACTAAAAAAGTAACACATTTTAAAGAGAGAGATCTTTTGTTATGAACACAATTCAATGAAATGGACCCATTCTATAGGCTTCGGGACCAGGGTGAAGGTTTTCCACTTCACTTCTGCACATCGTTTCCATTAATGGCTTTTAATGTGATTAAGGGCTCAAAATCTGTTTACAAAACTGTGTATTCAATGGTATACATAAAAAGTTTCATAATACTGGCACTCATATATTCCAACAAGGTCTTAAGATTTTCATTGTGTTTTGGTTATATGCTTACCATAATCAGAATTATTATTATTGATCCAATTTATGATTAAAATAGAAACAAATGAATTTCTTATTTGATGGTATTGTATAAAAATTAGTAAAATTGTTTCAACCATTGACAACAAATTTACTAGTTATCAGATATTCAATGTCAGACATCTGGCGATATATAATATCTCATCATAAATACATATTTTGTATTTTAGTCATCAATTCTTGAAGGATTGAGTATTTAGAAATTCAGCATTTAGTAAATTAACGATATAAATATTCTAAACATATAAAAAATAAAAGTTTTAAGAATTAATATATCACTATTATACAGTAAAAAATATTTATAATAAAACTTTTATTAAGTTATGCTGTATTGATTGCTGTTTTTACAAAATTACAATATTTAAGAATTGATTAATATTTAAGTTAGTATGCTCTTAAAATAAAATGGATAAAATAAATTTGATATGATATTTACATCAAACGTATTTTACATGGCTACAAATATTTATTTCACTGAATAAAGAAAAGTGTATTTCAAAAATTGAATTGTTATAGAATGCAATTATAGCATGCTCAAATAAAAAGCAGTTCATTAAGAATATTATTTTTGAAAAGTATCTCATATTAGACATATGAAATAATTGCTTAAATAATGAAAATTTATTTTAGTTTTGGTCATGTTGATTTTAAAATTACTTTGATCATACTGCATGATTGCAACAGTAATAGTATTTATAATGAAAATTAACTCTAAAATTGGCGAATAAATGAGTTGAGAGTTGTTTTGTTTGTCACAAGCATGGAGTGGATGTGCTGAGTGATCATCCCATAGCCTATAGCTATACGACAAGACTTGGAGGGATGTGCTGTGGAGAGTGAGACCATAGAAGTGATTGTGAAATATATATGATATTGAAAGCGCTTCCTGTAATGCCTGCCAGTGCTGCAGA